AAGAAGTGTGGCTACAAGTATCATGGTTGGTAACATTTAATGACTTTAAGAATACACATAACACAGTCTGTTCTTGGTAATTTAACGACAATGTATTTGTTTGTTTGTTAATTGGGGCTTTAGGGCGCGCCGACTGACAATGTATTTGGCTGCATTGAATTGCAGAACACCCAATCCAGTTTACACCGGCTAGAAGCGGACACAGTGGACGTGCTCTGGCACTGATAATCAGACACCCTTTTTCCGACAGGCGGCCGACCTTCGACCCGGCTGGAGTATGGCTCTCGGACCGACTGTCGTGACACGGTGACGGTCCACAGAGCACCGCCACCGACACTGCCGGCCCCATGTCAGCTGACTCCGGCAGCCGCGGCGGGGGCGGGGGCGGGGGCGGCCGGCTGCTGACGCCGCGCCGCCTCCTGGCGCTGCTGGCCGCCTCCACCGCTCTCTCCATCCTCCTCTACCTGCGCTGGACGTCCTCCGGCGCGTTCTTCGGGGCCAGCCCGCGACCGGTGTTCATCACCCAGCCGCCCACTCCCACCGCGCAGCCCGACACTCTGGAGGGACTCCTGCAGCGAGACTTCTACAGCAGAGAGTGGGAGACGTGCGACAGCCCCGAGCAGCTCCCCGTGTTTACCAACAACGAGCACTGGCAGCACCCGTTCAACACGTCGCTGTACGCGCTGGCCGCCTACCCGGACCGGCGTCTGCGGGCCAAGCGGCGTGTGTTCGCCTATGTGCGGGTGATAGCGATGAGGGACGGCTACAGGCACAGCGCGGGACGCCAGGTGCACTGCCAGCTGCGCTATGAGAACGGCACTGAGAGCGTGCCGGCGCTGGAGCAGCTCATCTGGCAGAGCCGCTGGGACCCGCAGAACACGGGAAAGCTGTTCGATCCGGTGCTGGTATCGTGCCCGCTGCGCGGCGGACTGATGCCGATCTCTGTGGCGCTGACGCCGACACCGTGTGCCGCCGCCGACACGGACCTGGCCGTGGATGTGGCGCCGCTGCGCGAGTGGCAGAGCTCCCGGCGCCGGGACGGGCTCGCCGTGTGTGTGAAGAGGTTGCAGCTGGGGAACGAGTGGGCGGGCCGACTGGTCGAGTGGATCGAGCTGCTGAGGCTGATCGGTGCCGATGCGTTCGTGTTTTACCGGTACGACACGGGACCGGAGGTGTCTAGGGTGCTGGAGCACTACGAGGCCCAGGGCGTGGCCACGGTGGTCAACGCCACCCTGCCGGGGTTCCAGCCCAACTATCCGCCGGCGCGGCGGCGCTACCTGCGAGCCGCCGTCTGGCAGAAGCGCCGCTTCGAGCTGGTGCACTACAACGACTGCCTGTACCGCAGTCTGTACCGGTACCGGTTCGTGGTACCGCTGGACGTGGACGAGGTGCTCGTACCGCGCCAGTACCGTACCTGGGCCGAGCTGATCGAGCACCTGGAGGTGAACCCGCACCTGCTGCAGCGGTTCGCCTCCCTCTCCGTCCGGCACGTCTACTTCTTTGACAACCTGACGCAGACGCCGGACCCCGGTCTGCCCGAGCACTTCCACGCGCTGCGGCACACGGAGCGAAGCGCCAACATCAGCGGGCGCGGCTTCAGCAGCAAGGCGTTCGTCAGCACGCGCGGAGCGCTCACCGTGTTCAACCACTACGCGCTGGCGCCGCTGTACCCCTACACCGCGCACGAGGGACGCATAGTGCCTGCTCAGGCGCTGCTCCACCACTACCGTTCAGAGTGTCCGCGGGACCTGAGTGCCGAGTGCCGTAACAACTACTACAGGTACACCGAGACGGACCACAGCCTGGAGAGGTACTGAGCAGGCACGGAGTACCAGCGTGTAATCCGTCTGCCCCCGAGCGACCCGGGCAAGTCCCTCTTCCGAAAGGAGGTACAGCCGCGCCTCCAACACCGAGCCTACAAGGCATGGCAAAGAACATGCAACGACGCCACCGCCGCGGGAAGACCACCGCCCAAGCCACCAGAGACGAGACTACAGCACTCCCTCACCGACCGTGCCTCAGGAGGGTCGGCAAGTGGCTCGCCGAGGAGGCAGGAATCGAGGAGCTCCCGGTGGAGCCCATGGCGTTCTACAGCTGCGACCCGCCATGGCTGGGCCACCGCGGCGGCATCACCTTCAGGGTAGACCTGCCCGTGGCCACCCGCCGGTCGGACCCGCCTGCAGTCCGCAGGGAAGCTGCCCTACGAGCCATTGCGGAGCTCCCGCAACCGGATATTACTATCTGGTCGGACGGCTCGGCTCGCGGCGGGATGGAACAGGGCGGCGCAGGCGCGCTGATCCAGTTTCATCTCCTCAACAAAGAAGAAACCGTGCGCGCTCCTGTAGGGGCGGTCTGCTCCAGCTTGAGAGCAGAGCTGACCGCCATGCGCGAGTCGCTCGCGGCTGTGGCCGGCCTGGAGGAAGGGGAGCTGGCATCAATCAAGTCGGTCCGCCTCCTCACCGACTCAAGGTCTGGGCTACAACTACTCGGCCGCGGCCCAGCTAGCCAGACCATGGCCCTGGCCGCCGAGGTCTGGAGGCTGCTGAACACCCTCGCCGAGAACGGCACCGAGACGGTGCTCCAGTGGGTGCCAGGCCATGCCGGGCTGGACGGCAACGAGACCGCCGACCGCCTGGCTGGCGAGGCCGCGGCGGGCGACCAAGATAGCGCACCGATTGACCTATCGAGTGCGCGGGCCGCCGTCACGCGCCATGTCCGGGAGCTGTCGCGACGGAGGACAACCGCTGCCCACCCGCACCCGGACCCCACGCCTGGTCACGACTCCCTGGCGCGCTGGGGGTCGGTGACGCTGTCCCAGCTGAGGACCGGCACATCACCGCTGACCCGCGACACGCTCTACAAGATTGGCCTGGCAGCCAACGACGAATGCCCCGCGTGCGGGGAGCCCGACAGCGTGACGCACCTGCTGACCGATTGTCCGGCCTATGAGGCGGCCCGCCGCCGCCGCTGGGGTGTCGGCCCTCGCCTGGTCGACGTCCTCGGCGGCCCGGCGGCGAGGGTCGTCGACTTCATCGAGGGTGTCGGGCGGACCGAGCCGCCGCTCGACCCGCCTGCGCCGCCGCCCCCCTGAGCGGGCTGGCGGCGGGATGCAGAAGAAGAAGAAGAAGAGGTACCGAGGACAGCTGGTCGCTGCGGTCACACAGACACTGACACAGCTGGCACTGGGAGGGGAGGGTGGGGCCGGAGGGACGGCACACAGCGAGGGTGAGCCGCCGAGTGACGAGGACGGCGAAAGCGACGCCGACGGGGACCACAGAGCGCACACCAGTGATGTGGGAAGTGATATACAATGATACGAGGGGGATTAAGATTGCCTATGGCGATGCTTAGGCGGAATAAACAAGATTCAGCAAGGCACGACCGTCAATTATTGAGCAAGACAGGCACGCAATTGCAGTCCGACATCAGGGAGATATCAAGAATCAGAATCACCCTCATACGTTTCCCGTCCCATATAAGACAATTATGATACCATTTATAATTACTGTGGTTGCGATAAGGGAGAATGTTATGGCAGTTGTCTTCGTATGTTGCCGCAAATGAGCGTTCCTACTTCCTAGCGTGCCTTCGTGGTATAACTGGCCTCTGCAATTTTCGACTGCTGTCATTGGATGGTCTCGTCGCTACTTTTCGCAGGGATTTTACCGGTGGATAGTCTGGCTGTGACTCGTGTATTTATGTCCATCGTTAATGGAAATACACTTACACTCGTGGTACACCAGTATATCACAACTCGCTGGTGTTTGACACAGACAGCTCTTCAAACGCTGCGGCCATCCTGGCGATCGATTTTTCCAAGGCCTTCGACCTGGTTAGCCATGATGTCGTGCTCAGGAAACTACTGGACCAGCAAGTTCGTCCCTCCATCGTGCCTACAGTAGCCAGCTTCCTCAACGAGCGGAAACAGGTCGTTCGACTTGGTGGCTCGAATCCTGTCTCATCAGAGCTCACTACCACGTGTGGAACGCCCCAAGGGAAAAAAATCGCCCCGATTGCATTTTTGGCTCATATAAATGACTGCGCAGTTACCGAAGATCATCGGTGGAAGTATGTGGACGACCTCAGTATCGGCATCCTGTCTCCTGCAAGAGATGCAAACATTGTCCTTCAGAAAGCCCAGACGGCCGCATCCACTCTGGAAACATGGTCAGAGAACAATCTCATGAAGATCAACGGAAAAAAGTGTCATATACTCATCTGCAACTTCTCTCACAACACGGATATGGACGGCACAGTAATCATTAACAACGAACCAGTACCTGTCGTCTCTACCATGAAACTTCTCGGAGTCCATATTACTTCTGACTTAAAGTGGACGGCAAATACAAATCATATCACAAAAAACGCCTCTCGCAGGCTGTTCATGCTCACAGTCCTCCGTCAGTTCCATGCAGATCTGAGCGATATCCGCGCCGTCTACATCAGCTTCATTCGTCCATGTCTGGAATACTGCTCTCAACTGTGGCACACGGGACTGACACAGCAACAAGCACAAGCAATCGAGCAAGTTCAGAAAAGAGCTTGCAAAATCATGATAGGATACGAAAACTACACCGACTACGCCTCTGCCTGCCAGCTCCTCAACCTCGAGACTCTGAGTGAGCGTCGCGATGCTGTCCTCTGCAAGCTGGCGGCCGACATCCTCGCCAACCCCGCCCACCCACTGTACCCGGGCGAGCAGCTGGAAAATGTGAGGCGCCCTCTGCGCCGGCAGCGAAAGTTTGTCGTACCGCGGGCCAAAACTGAGCGGTATAAAAAGTCCACTGTGCCTGTACTCATAGATCTAATGAACAGGATGTGATCCCCACGTAGATATGTTCGGAGCTCTTTTGAAATGCACTGTGTTTTTAATTTTTGTGATGCTTTTCACTTCTTCATGTGGTGCCACCATTGCACAGCTCATGTACGGCCTTTTTACCAGTCGTTGACCGTCACGTGGTCAAATAAACCTTTATGTATGTATGTATGTATGTATGTGTTTGTTGTATTCGGAGTTTGGACAGTAGCAGCCCATGGCTCATATTCGTAATGGAGAGGTACCACCCGGGTATCACATCATTTCGATTCACACGAGCTGACACCACCACAAATTATAGCATCACAGTTCAGGTTCTCACCGAACACAGTCACTGGAACATTGACGAAGTACGGTACGACGTCAGTCTTTTAATGCTAGTCGGCCCAAAGTGCACACCGCACAACCGTTTCCAGTTCTCGCCCACAAACTATGATAGAAAACATCAGCAAACCATACCACCTTTACTTGCAGCGCTGGCAGATGAAACATAGTAGAGTAGTCAGTAGGCAGTCCAGGCAAGTGACACTCCCCCGCCCTACCTGGCCCTGCGCCGGAGGAGCGATGCCAAGACCGATGTCCCCTGTGACCCCGCCTCAGTAGAGCGACGCGTCGGGAGCCGGGTCGAACAGGTGTGACCAGGTGGGCGGCGTTCGCCAGCGACCCAGCACAGAGTTCGGGTCGGGCCGGGACTTCTGGCTCTCCTGAACACGACAGGGGAAGAATATGTCAGATGTGAGTAGAGAACGTGCTAACAAGGGCATAGCAGTAGCAGCACCCGGCTGAAACTGGACAACGGCATGACAGAGTTTGCCAATGTGTTCAAATGAATCATATAGGCACGTAACGCCTTGAATAAATTAAGAGCCACTGCAGGCTGAAGTAAGCATTGCTTTTTTAGAAGAGTCGCAAATGCCAAAAAAAAAAAATAGCAGGTAGCAGGCAGCCGCTTCAACGAATCAAGCAAACCCTCATTTTGAAACAAAATCAATGAACCGTAGTTTTTGCAGCAGGAGCATTTATAAACCACGAGCAAGCGAGCAGACTGTACTCACATCCAGCAGGCCGAGCCACGAGTCCAGACAGTTGCAGATATCCACCGCCTCGGGAATGTTGTTCCCTTCGTAGGTGTGTCGCAGTAGACACGTGTACGGGAGCTTGGCGGCCTCACTACAAAACAGAGCAAAATGAAAATGGTGTTACCACGGTAGAGTCAATGCTTCACTGTCAAATTCAAGATCAACTCTAATTTTATTTCGTTTTCAATTTGAATCGAACAACGTTTATGTATTTACCTTAAGTATTTACCTTAAGTAAAGGTCATTAGGTACCCTTTCGAGTAATCAGACCCTTTACTCAAGAGATGCCTCCTCTTCTTCTGACTAAGACGAGTAGGCTGCCATGCTAGGTGAGGCCATACATTGATGGCCACGATGATCATTAGTATGAGAACTTGTAGTTGAACTTTTCAGGGTGGTCCTTCCATTCCTTCCCCAGTCTGTACTTCAACACATCGACATTTGGAGCATCGATGGTGTGGGTTGACAGCTTGTTCCATGTCTGAGTTACTCGTGCCGCAAAGAAGGCTTTTCTGGGTCCCAATTGATGTTGAACTTGAAGTTTTTGATCGTGACCTCACCTCGGGTGACACGGCTGAGAGAGTTCTTGAACATGCTGTTGTGACAACACGGGCACTCTCTTTGGAAGTCCACCTTGTCGAAGCCTTTCAATATTTTGAAAGTCTCGATGATGTCCGACCGTTTCCGTCGGAATTCCAGAGTAGGTAAATTAAGGCTCCTGAGGCGATCTGAATATGAAAGGTGAGACAGTCCGTTCACCAGCCTTGTTGCCCGCCGCTGCACCTGTTCGAGTGCATCTTTATCCTTTTTGAACTTGGGACTCCATATAACAGTTGCATACTCGAGGTGGGGCCTGACAATGCTTTTGTACAAGGCTTGGAAAATGTCGCTGTCAATGTTTGCAAAGGTATGCTTGATTGCACCAAGAATTCTATTGGCCTTGTTAATCTGGTTAGTGACATGTTTTGAGAAGGATAGCTTCATGTCTATAGTGACTCCCAGGTCCTTTTCCTCATAGACTGCTTCAAGGGTATGTTTGCCTCCACCCATAGTTGTCATGGTATACTCACTTCCAGGATTTGTTGGTCCTAGATGCATGACCTTGCACTTGAGTGGATGAAAGCTCATCTGCATTGTTTTTGCCCAATCTTGCAAAGAGTTGATGTCCTCTTGCAAATTGTGAAGTTCACCATCGCGCTCGTTGATGACTTGGTAGACCTTGGTATCGTCCGCAAACATGTAGAGATATGAAAATTTAAGAGGTCGGGAACATCACAGACAAACATGGAAAACAAGAGAGGCCCGAGCACTGAGCCTTGCGGCACTCCACTTGTTACATACTCCCAGTCTGAGAGTGATCCATTGACGTTCACCCTTTGCCGCCTGCCTGTTAGAAAACTCCTTATCCACTGATGAGTCTTTGCATTCACCCCTAGAGCCTGGACCTGGGCTAGAAGCCGTTCATGGGGCACAGTGTCGAACGCTTTGGCATAGTCCAGAAACACAACATCCACGGGTAAGCTGTGGCTTAGCGCTTCCGTCCAAATATCAAGAGCTTCCAGTAGGTTTGTGACCGTAGATTTCCCTGTGATGAAACCATGTTGTTGGCGAGCGATAAGATTGTTTGTCTTCAGGTGAGCAATGATGTCCTCGCATATGATCCTCTCCAGAATCTTGCATAATATTGATGTCAGTGACACTGGTCGGTAGTTCGCGGGATCACTTTTGTCGCCTTTTTTAGATATTGGCGTGACGGTGGCCACCTTCCACTGCCGTGGAACTTCTCCAGTTTCAATACTTTTACAGAACAGAGATGTGATGGGTGTCGCAAGTTGGTCAGCGAGTTCGTGCAAAACACGAGGGTGCATGTTGTCGGGGCCTGGTGATTTATCAATCTTCAGTGTTTTCAGCTTGGCATGGACTCGCTGAACAGTTATCGCAACTTGCATCTCTGCCTCCAAAGGCTTTGGAGCTAACGTTGGGATCGATGACTTGTCTTCCTTTGTGAAAACGCTTGCGTACTGATGATTCAATATATCAGCCTTGTGTTTGTCGTTAGTTGCCAGTTCACCATTAGCACTACGCAAGTCCGAGATACCACATTTTGATTTCCTGCGACGGTTGACGTAGTTCCAAAACACTTTGTGATTTCCTTTGACTTCTTTAGCCAGCTTCGACTCGAATTCCCGCCTTGCTTTCCTGGTCGCGTGGGTAGCTTCATTTCTTGCCTTGACATAACTTTGGTAATCATTACTGTCCTTGGTGTTCAGAAAACGAACCCAAGCGTGATGTTTTTTCTTCACCATTCTAAGAGCACTCCGATTCATCCACAGGGGATTTCCTCTTTTCGCTTTCTTGTTGGTGTCCAGCTTGGGCACGTACCTATCCATTAAATCCGTGATCGTTTGTTCGAGCGTATCTGCCATCTCATGCACAGATTTGCCTTCAAATAGTCCTTGCCAGTCAACGTCCAGTGCTTTCCTCATTTCTTCATAGTTGGCTTTGTGGTAATTCAGTACCACACTCTTTCTTAATGGAACGTAAGGGACAAACGATATAGTAAATGAGACACTGGCATGATCGCTTGCTCCAACCGGGTCTCCAATTGTCAGTTGTTCCACCAAGTCTCGCTCATTTGTAAAGAGTAGGTCATCGAGAGTAGAGCGCTGTCCATCTCTGTATCTTGTTGGCTCTGTTATATGCTGTAGAAAGTAGGTATCGTGTATACATTCGATAAACTTACGAGCTGGACTGTTCTGGCTGACACCTTCTGGAACTTCTGGGTCCGGGGTCCAGAATATTTCTGGGTGGTTAAAGTCACCGACTATAACCTTGTGCGAATGATTTGTGGATGCTGCCCAGCCAAGCATTTTGTGAAGATCAGGATCTTGAGGAATAGCTTTACTTGGTGATCCACTTCTGTAGATCACCCCAAAAAGCATACTTGCTCCACGCCGAGCATTAATCGTAATCCAGGTGCAATCCTGAAAGTTGCAGTCTCCCGTGGGGTAAACTTGTTTGGCCATCAGATTCTTTTTGACATAAATTCCCGTGCCCCTAGTAGCTCCGGCTGAAAAGTTGCTAGTAAATAATTCGTAGTCGGGCAGTTCCATTACAGGGTGTTCAGGCATCGACCCAACTTTAGGTTTCATTTCTGTTAATGCAAGAATATCATAGCTCTCAAGTGCAGTGAGTGCCAGCATCGCGTCGTATTTGCTCATAATAGAATTGTCGATGTTGGCATAAAACACTTTCAATGAGTTAACAGTATGGGTTACAGGCCCGGCAGGTTTCTTGTCGTCTTGAATGTCTAGTCTCGCTGTGATGGTACCATGACAATTTCGTTCCGTTTGATCATCCATCTCTTTTCTGGAAAAGCTTGGCGCTTTTCCTGGAGCAGTGCTCACAAGTTTTTTGAAGCTTCAAGCTGGCATTTTGTCAGATCTGGACGGATAAAGACACTAGCATACGTTTCGTCGTGGCTTGTTCGCAAATCCTTCGCTTTAGCCAAGATCAGCTTCTTCTCACTCAGCGCTTCAAGTTTCACTCTTAGTATTCTGGAACCTGTGTCTTTCTTCTTTCCAAGCAAGCCGTGTCGCCTCCTGTAACTTCACAGATAGTTTAAACTCAGATTTGATCATTTCCTTAAATGCTGTAATGTCTCCTTCGCTGCTACCGGTCTCAGGGAGGTTGAAAACTGCCAAGTTGAGTTTCCTATTTTCGATGTCTTCTAGTTCACTGAGACCTCTCTTCAGGGCTCTGGTATCAGTGTCCTTTTTTACTAGGTTTGACTTTACGGTCACGGACAGTTCCTCTAGTCTGGTTTCCAATGCTGTCATGCTAGCTGCTGCTTGAGCGTAGCTGGGACTGCGCACTTATGTGATATAATGCGTCGTCATTGAGAAGTTCGAGAGCTAAAAGTTCAGTGTAGATTGTCGTATTATGAAATATGAACAATAAATAGCAGTGCACAAGCTGTTTGGAATTAGCAGCGTAGCAGTCAAGCCAAGTGACTGAAGTGGGATCTCCAGAAGGTACAGGGTGACACAAAAAAGCGGTCATCACCAAATTTCGAATAACTTCGGAAGTTTTATTCAGATCATCACCAAACGTCGCCCACTTTAGGTCACACCTATGTAGCAGACATCCACCAAGTTTCAAGTCTTCACTACGAATACTTTTAGTACAGTGTGTGTTTTACGGACGCTCCACAATGTGCTCCAGGTGAGCGCCCCGGCGCTGCAGGGCTTAGGCACTAGGCACACCTGCATCCGGCGGGCAAAGTTGCCGATAACCCGATAAGAATAACGTTTCAGGGGTAGCACACCCCCTGAGCACTGTCTCCAGAGGCCATTGCACTCTGTAAAGTGCACAGCCATCGGGTTATCGACAACTTTGCCCGCCGGATGCAAGTGTGCCTACGCCCTGCAGCGCCGGGGCGCTCACCTGGAGCACATTGTGGAGCGTCCGTAAAACACACACTGTACTAAAAGTATTCGTAGTGAAGACTTGAAACTTGGTGGATGTCTGCTACATAGGTGTGACCTTAAGTGGCCGACGTTTGGTGATGATCTGAATAAAACTTCCGAAGTTATTCGAAATTTGGTGATGACCGCTTTTTTGTGTCACCCTGTACCTTCTGGAGATCCCACTTCAGTCACTTGGCTTGACTGCTACGCTGCTAATTCCAAACAGCTTGTGCACTGCTATTTATTGTTCATATTTCATAATACGACAATCTACACTGAACTTTTAGCTCTCGAACTTCTCAATGACGACGCATTATATCACATAAGTGCGCAGTCCCAGCTACGCTCAAGCAGCAGCTAGCATGACAGCATTGGAAACCAGACTAGAGGAACTGTCCGTGACCGTAAAGTCAAACCTAGTAAAAAAGGACACTGATACCAGAGCCCTGAAGAGAGGTCTCAGTGAACTAGAAGACATCGAAAATAGGAAACTCAACTTGGCAGTTTTCAACCTCCCTGAGACCGGTAGCAGCGAAGGAGACATTACAGCATTTAAGGAAATGATCAAATCTGAGTTTAAACTATCTGTGAAGTTACAGGAGGCGACACGGCTTGCTTGGAAAGAAGAAAGACACAGGTTCCAGAATACTAAGAGTGAAACTTGAAGCGCTGAGTGAGAAGAAGCTGATCTTGGCTAAAGCGAAGGATTTGCGAACAAGCCACGACGAAACGTATGCTAGTGTCTTTATCCGTCCAGATCTGACAAAATGCCAGCTTGAAGCTTCAAAAAACTTGTGAGCACTGCTCCAGGAAAAGCGCCAAGCTTTTCCAGAAAAGAGATGGATGATCAAACGGAACGAAATTGTCATGGTACCATCACAGCGAGACTAGACATTCAAGACGACAAGAAACCTGCCGGGCCTGTAACCCATACTGTTAACTCATTGAAAGTGTTTTATGCCATTTGCCAA